CTCTCTCTCCTCCTCTCTCCTCCTCTCTCTCTCTCTCTCTCTCTCTCTCTCGCTCCGCCCACCTCCTCCTCCTCCTTATCCCCCTCCTCCTCCCCTCTCCCACTTCTGCCCCCTTCTAAGATCTAAGAGGAAGAGGAAGAGGAAGAGGAGGAGGAGGAGGAGGAGGAGGAAGAGGAAGAGGAAGAGGAAGAGGAAGAGGAAGAGGAAGAGGAAGAGGAAGAGGAAGAGGGAGAGGAGGAGGAGGAGGGGGAGACGAAGAGGGAGAGGGAAGAGAAGAGAAGAGGAGAGAAGAGAAGAAGAGAGAAAGTATTACTTGCTTAGCGAATTTTATGATTTATCGATACTTCCAGGTTTGAATCAGTTGATTTAATGTAACTGCAGTGTCATTACCTGTGATACTAGTATCATATAACTGATTGCTGTTGGAATGCGAAATACAGGCCTGCGAGCCTGGACATGTCAGCCTGTCAGGTAAGACCTAGTCGGTACTATGATACAGTAGATACCTACTAGGGATAGTATATACTTTCCCCAGGAGACTGGGAAGTAATGTAGTTAGTTGTACTCTACAAGGACCTAGGTAGTCATCTCATAGGTAAATAAGCATCGGCCTACCCCAGATTCCCTTCAGTCCTCTCTCCTTTCTTCATCTTCTTTTTCCTGTTCCAAAACCGACCCCGATTTTATATATACAGCTACCTACCTATACCAGACCACCATCAGCAGCCTCCCCCAAGATGCGAGTTACCTTGCTCATACTCGCCACTCTATTCCCTCTGGCGCTTTGTCGAGGCTCAGGAAGCGGTGGCTCAGATCCAGGCAGAGATCCAGGAGCCGAACATCCAGGAGGAGGCGATAAACCTGAGCCCCTACCACCATCGGTTTGCTGCACCAAGGCTCCTCAGTGCAATTGGGATCCGGCTGTAAGTTGTTTTTTTTTAAGAAAGAAGAGCAAACTCTGCTTCCATGATAAAGACATGTATCATTTTGGAAAAAAAAAACACCCAGACTAATATAACTTTTTTTTAGTGTTGCAAACAAGGCGTAAGATTTACCCCATTTCCTCCTCCTCTTCCGCTTTCTCTAAAATTTTCTACTAACATGTTTTCTTCTTTTTTGATGAAGTGTTGAGAATATAACAAACGCACTGCACGAGAGACTTGGTACCTGGCAAGCTACGCCTGTCTGGTTCTCACAGTCTGTCGGTTAGTCATGCATGCCCGGCCTGCGAGATGCGAATGGTTTTGGAGCGAGGACTTGGGAGCAATACGGACGGACGGACTGTCGATGGAGATGATGTTCAGAGACCTCTTCCTCTCCCTCTCCCCCTTCTCGCACTCTAGGCCGTAAATTCGTAGCGGATAAAGCGTCCCTCGATAAGATTTTCCAACATAATCCCTATCAATAGTCCAGATTGTACCAAGTCCTCGTTCCAAATATTCGCAAGCAGGCCGGGGCATACATTCTTGACTGCCTAACTTGAGAAAGACCCAGTCGTAGCTCGCCACCAAGTTTCGTATAGTGGATTTTTCGCTTTTTTTTAACACTTTATCGAAAAAAAAGAAAACATGTTAGTAGAAAAATAATGAATAGTAAGAGAACGCAGAGGAGAGAGAGGAAGAGAGAGAGAGAGAGAGAGAGAGAAGGGCAAATCTTACGCCTTGAGTGCAACACTAAAAAGTCGTATTAGCCTCGAGGTATTTTCCAAAAAATCGTATCTAAGTTGGATCTTCACTTACGTCTGGATTATTGTTACATCGCGGTACCGTAGAGCAGCATTTAGATCCAGGTTCGGGTTCGTCGCCTCCTCCTGGCGGATCGGCTGGGCCAGGGCCAGGGCCTTGGCAAAGCGCCAGATGGAATAGAGTGGCGAGCATGAAGAGTGTAATTCGCATCTTGGGGGGGGGCAGATGATGTTGTGGTATTGCTGTATATTCAGTCGGTTTCGGAGGTTGACTAGGAAGAAGAAGAAGAAGAAAAAAGAAGAAAAAGGAGGATTGAGGGGAAATCTGGGGAAGGCGATGCTTATGAGGAGGTCCTTGTAGATGGAAGTCTCTGGAGAAAGCATGTACACCTTGTCCTTTAAGGTATGTAGCCATCTCACCTCCCTAGTACCGACATACCAGGTCTTACCTAGCATAGGCTTTTTACAGGCCTGATGAATCTGGTATTCCAACACCAATCACCTCCATCTCCATCTTCCCTTCCCTCTCCCCCCCTTTCTCACACTTTCAGGCCGTATCGATGTATCGAATCAATTTAACACTGTTGAAATTTTGAAGAAAAGAAAATCACATCAATATTAGCCTCACCTCTCCCGCGCGTGCCTATGCAGTAGAGAAGCGAAAGAAGAAGAAAAAAAGAGATCAAAGAGATCAAAGAGCGCGGAGATGGGGTAAATCTTACGTTTGTGAGGCAACACTATAAAAGAAAATTGAAAAAAAAAAAAGTCCTGTTAGCTCATGGTTCATCGTAAAAGAGAGAGGGAGAGAGGGAGAGAGGGAGAGAGGGAGAGAGCTTACCTTTGGATCATTATTGCATGAAGGGACTTTGGAGCAGCAAAGAATGTCGGGAATGTCAGGGGGAGACTTGGGTTGGCCGTGGCCTCGAGGCCTTGCTGGGCTCATGGCTTGGCAGAAAAGCGCCAGGTAGGCCAGAGTAGTGATTGTGAGGAACGTGGTTCGCATGTTGGTGTTGGGCTGCTGAATGTTTTTTTTTTGGTATAATAATAAAAAAGAATCGTAGATTCAAAAGTCAGTTCGGAGGCGTAAGTGAATAGGAGGAGAAAAGAAAGGGGAGGGAGGTTCGATCGCTTTTATTATTATACGATGTCCATGTGGCGACTTTACCTCCCGATCGACCAGGTCCTGCTTGACACCGCCTCACACAGCCTCATACAGGCATACTGACCTGTTTAAAAGTGTTGTGAACCTGTTGTCAACTTGTCATGTTGCTGTTGTTAGATCATACAGGCATAGGCCCGGCTATTGAAAATAACCTCCCTTGTACATGTACCTATGTATATACTTCTTACACGATCTTTTTTTTCTTCTTTTTCTCTTCAGTAAAAGAAACCAATACCTTGCATCTTGTTCTCCCAACAGATCTGTTGAAACATCAAGTCATCATGGAAAAAGCATTGCGTGCGCTGCTTCGACAACAATTTGTAATAATCGCTGCTAAAATTCACCATGCAAGTTAGCATATTTTCACTTTGGCAAAAGGACATTTCAATCTCTCTTTCCGTTGCTTCTTTACCATTCTTTACTCTGGTTGCTGTTGTTGCTCTGGTTGCTCGTGACGTTCTTCTTGTTGTCGTTCTTGTTGATCTTTCCGCTGCTGCTGCTGCTGCTGTTGGCCCTTCTCACCAAGCAATTGAGGATCAATAGGCATATTGCTCCATTTGATCAATTCCAGATATTCTCGCTGGATGGCTTCTTGTGTAGGAGCATCTGGGACAGTCCTGCTGGTGGTGGTGGTGCTGGTTCTGCGTTGAGATGAGCCTTGCTGCTGCTGCTGCTGCTGCTGCTTCTCCTCTTCTAGTAGCACAAAGACGCCGTCTTGAAGTCGAAATCGATCTTGCACTCGCAGGTATTCGGAATCCAGACTGTAGCCCGATCTCAGACGGGCGAGCATTTCCACGGCTGTTTTCGCGTCAGAAGAAAAAAAAAGTCATACTTGTGATTAGCTCTCTCTCTTTTTCTCGAACGAACAAGCTAACTTTGCAACAAGCATGACTAGAAGAAAAAAGAAGAGAAAAGGGGGGGCAAGAAACAGATATACAAATAAGAAAGGGGGAAGGAAAAAAAAGAAAAATAAAAAAGAAAATAAAAAAAAGATACCTTCCTCAATCCTCGCTCTCTGTAAAAATTGCAACAACATCCTCCTCCGATGCAACTGTTCTCCCGAATCCAGCAAATCCACGCGATCTTGTTGTCGCTTCGTCATGCCTTCGGTCACGTCGTACACGCACGCGAGCTTCCGATCGAGACATCGATCGCAAACGGGACGAGTGGAGGAGCACTGTATAGCACATGAAAAATTTTCATGACATGAGCCACTTTTTTTTTCCTTTTTTTCATCCTTTTGTTTCGTATTGTTTGTATTGTGTACAGGTAGTGTTTATGTTTATATTTGTGAAAAGGAAAAAAGAAAAAAAAAGAATGTATGCTAACCTTTAATTTTGCATCACGACACTTCATGCAGGCATTCGCCACCTGGGCTCTGCGCGTTTTCGGAGGTGGATGGGTGTTCTTGTTGTCTTCCATTCCCGTGACTCGAGTAATAGAATTTTTCGTATTCAAATAAATAAAAAAATAAAAATAATAATAATAAAGGGGTGGTGTGGTGACTGACGGTGATGAGGGAGGGAGGAAGGGGGTCCGGAGGGTCACGGATGGAATGGAGAAGGATAAGTGAGGCAGTGCAGTGCAGTCAGTAGGAGGTACATACCTTAAGTTCTATCCATGTGCCCATGTGTGGCCAAAGAAACTGCTTTCTTTCTCCTCGGAGGCGGCTGTCGCGGTGGCGAATAAGAAGCAGAAGAACTACCTAGGAGGCATTGTGCATGTGGGACCCTGACATGCCGATCGGCTGATCTGATCTGACCAGACAAATAGAGAACAAGAAGTCATTCCAAGAGGAGCTCGAAGGATCAGATCATCTACCTCAACATCATCCATATCTTGGCACATCTGGCTTGGTTTTGCTTGCTTGCTCAGGACGCCGCTGGATCAACAACAACAACACCACCAAAACACATTCGTGGCCATGTTCCCGTGCTTGGTATGAGCAACGAGCACGACACTCATCAATGGAATCATATACTACTCTAGACAGTGTGCCATCTATCGTCGGCGTTGGATCAGCGCCCCTCCTTTACTAACACACACACAACAAAGGCCCTCTCAATTCTTCCTCTGGCTCTTCGCCTTGCCCTTTTGCTTTTTCTTCCCTTTGCCCTTGGCATTGACACCACCACCACCACGACCACCACCACCACCATCGCCGGCCGCAGCAGTCTCTCTGCTCTCCTCCTCAAACAGCTTCAGAAGCGCAGGTGTGAACCGCTCCATCTGCCAAATATCGCCCACCTTGAGCCGCATGTAGTCAAATGCGATCGCGACCTTCATATCGCTTTGCAGCTTAAACTTGACTGCCTCGGGTTTGCTCCCTGCATACTTGCTCGGGAGCTCATACTGCTGGCCAGGGTCATCATTGCCTGTGGCCTGATCGGGAAACGTGAAAGCCGCGTCCTCGAGCGGTCCAGACATTTCATCCTCAGCATGGGTCGCCTCGTCATCCGCCAGCACATCGGCGGCACTGTTCGTGGGAAGAACATCGCCAACCTCGCCCTCACTGCGCTCGAAGACAGGCACTTTCTGATATCGTTGACTGAAATGCGTCAGCACACACGCTCGTGCATTCATCTTTTGTGCAATGGTCAACGCCTCCGATGTCGTGCTATGCCTCTTCGCTTGTGCATCGCCTTGCAACTCATCGTCAAATGTAGCTTCGTGAATGCACACTGTACTGCCCTTGCCAATTTCTGCAAATGCTTCCGAAGGCCGACAGTCTCCCGAGTATGACACCTTAAAGCCAGATGGCGTCGTAATACTGACGGCTCGCGCGGCGTGACAGTGCTTGACTGCAACAGCTTGCAAATCTTTCAACTGGAGAGCCGACACTGGAACGTTGTGCTTGTCGAATTTATCCTCATACTCCCGAGGACTCAGGTTCCTCAGCTGAGCAGGAGGGATATGCCAAATCAGGCGCGATTTGTGACCTTTACGTACATCCTGCGCTGGGTGCAACGACAGAGGTGCCAAGCGCGAGTACCCATAGTCTTCAATGAAGCTGTACTCATACAGCCACTGCTGCATGGCAGGTTCCGTGACGACCGCCAAACGATCACGACCCGCCAAGATTTCATTCCATGTCGCCGACTGTGAAACAGGCCCCGCTGGTCGGCTCGAGTGAACTTCTTGGTACCACGCTTTGATGATACTCGTGGTGCCGAGTTGATGGTCAGCGTGCATGTGGCTAATGAAGACCATTCTGAGATCGCGCAGCACTTCACTCAGCTCTGCTGGTGCAAACACACGTTTCAGCTGACCGAGGCTGTTCTCGCCTGCATCCAGAAGAATATTGCCCCATTTTGGCACGCGCACTAATGTGGATGACACATTGCGGTACTTGGATGGAAGTGCGGACCCGGTTCCGAGTGTGGTAATCTCTGCCTGATCAGCATCCGGAGGTAAAGTATTCAGCCACTCCATCGTCTCCGTGTCGAGAGTCTTGATGGACTGCTTGGCCTTGTCTGCTTCCTGTATCACCTCCTCCGGAGTCTCCGCTGCAGCTGCTTCCACATCCAGACACGCGATAGTATCTGCCGCTTGGAATTCCAGTGCGGGCTCCAGCTGTACCTTTTGCCCACGTGCGGCAATATGCACCTTCTCTGGTAGAGGGTGGCTTGCACGGGTCTCCAGATATCTGGCAGTACCGCCATATGGTTGCGACGATTGTTGTCCTTCCCCGTCGTGCACCGGTACAACATAGCGAGCTGGATCGACTCTCCGGAGTCGAATTGTCGAGCCGGCGACCGAGTTGAACGCTATGTTATTCGGACAGTAGTCTGGGGAGGATACAATGTGCTCCAGGTGCGAGTGTTCCTTCATGAAAGCGTGCAGCCTCACATCAGTAGCCACATCCTTGCCGCACAGCCAAATCACTGCTCCAACACCTTCCATCACCTTTGGCTCCTGCCACTCGGGGCGAGAGACGAGATTTTCAATGTACTCGGGACCAGGAATATCCATAACAGCAATTCCACCGCCTACTCGAGGTGGATTCATCACTTCTTCCGGCGCCACCAATTCTCCCCGGTCATTCATGACACTTTCTCCTTTGGTGAGTCTGGCGAAGTCCTTGACCTGCGTGACACCCCTCGCCTTGGCTTTCTCCGGAAGAAACTTACCTCGCTGCATGTGAGTGCGAAAAATGTAGCTGATGGCCTCTTTCGCTGGCTTCGTCTGGGGTAAGTCTGTGACCAGAGCGCCAGGCCACGGTTTGCGCACCAGCACAGTCAAGTTTGCATTGGGAATTGGATTTTTGGGATCATTGGGCAGCGGCCCTGTGTATTTCTGGATCTTGTTCGTTCGGCGATCACGAATAAAGATGGTGGCGGGAAGCTTGACTTGCGAAAGAGGAGTTTCATGGAGCGTATCTAGTCGCCACGATGAATTGAACATTTCACCAACAACAGCCTTTACCGTGAGGTAGTCACGATCCTCCTGAGTGAGGTCATCATTAACTTGTACCACGTTACCATCATCTCCAGCACGCATGTCGTCAAAGCTTCGTTTCAGAGGGCTGATGGATGCAGATGGCCTTTGAGGGGTATCAGACGTCGGCGGCACTGACATGGACCAGACTTTGACGTGCTCATCAGCCCAGAATGGTTTCCAGTCATCATCTTGCGGTGCCTGCTTGGGGAGACCGTTGTCGCGGATCTCGTGTATTTTGATAGGCATTCCTTTCCGGAAGACGAAGCGTCTCGCAGTGGCCATCGTGTGGTTCAGGTTGGGCGGCCCAAATATGGTCAGCGCGGAATTCACTTCCTTCTTCGCCTGCTCCTCGAGCTCCCGTATCTTCTCTGGACTGTCCGTGATTCCAATCTTGGCCCTTATACGGGCCTTCCGTTTCGCATCCTCAAGTGACGCAGCTGCGCTCGATGCAGATGAATCTGCTAGTGTCAGGATCATGCCAATCATGCCCCCAGTATTTGTCCATTCCGTCCTGCCGGTGAGGAAGCATTCTGAGACCTTCAGCAGTTTGGCGCCAATCTCCACGCATGCTCGCTGGGTTCCCTCGGCAAGACTGCCGATCAAATAGCGCCTATTGTCGAAGTGCAGAAGTAAAGTGGTGCCCGGGGTGTCTGCCGTGGGGGTGGTGAGAATCTGCACGAACGATCGCATCTTTCTGTCGTTCTTCCAGTCGGGTTGGCTGAATTTCGCAAAGTCAGCAGGTGTTGGGCACCCGAGGAGCTTCTTGTGATGCCCCCGAAAGACGACAGCTGGTTTGCGCGGTCGTGACTGTCGTGACTGGTGTGGGTCTTGATCTGGGTCACTTTTCGCTCCCAACCGACCGCGTTGGCGCCAGCGCGCGACAGGACTATCGGCTGGATCCCAGGTGCGCAGGACGGGCTCGAACTGGGTCAAGAGCTGGGCCTCTCCCGCAGCGCCACGAGTTGCTGGCTCTGGTGCGATGTTCTGGGTAGCAGTGTAGCCTGCGAGGAGATGTCCCAGCGCTGACAAGACCTGAGGCGGCTTGGCCTCCTCTCTCTGCTCTGACTTTCCCTTTTCCTGGACCACGTCTCTTTCTCTTTCAGGTTCTCTTTCTCCTTGGCTTCCTCTTTCCTCCTGCCCGTGATTTCCCCTTCCAACCTTGGCTGGTGAATCTGGACGAGTAGTGCAGTGTAAATGGCGTCGAATGGCGCCGAGTCCAATGCCGCCAGCAGTCCAAACCAAAGCAGATGTCTCAATCGAGAGTCTCGGGAGTATCGTGAGGCGCCGCAGCGGGGAGGAGAATGATGTGGAAGCCAATGTGAAGGCGGATGCGGATGCGGATGCCTGCCTGATCAGGTGCAATCAATGAGTTCGATGTGGCATCAGGACCTCACAGTGCTGAGTAAGAGAGGGAGAGAGGGAGAGAGGGAATGAGTGAGAGTGAGTGAGAGAAAGCGGACTCGAACAGCGGGAGAGAGAGAAAGAGAGAAAGAGAGAAAGAGAGATCTTCGACGTTAAGTGTTACTACCTAAGGTAAATTCTATAAATCTACAACATCGCCAAGACCCGCCTTCCTTCCCATCTACGGAGGCCCAAAGTGGCCAGCCGCCACACGTTACCCCCGGCTTTCTTTAGCTTCATCTTCCTACTACTTCTACCCTTCTACCTACTATATACTACTATATACACTCGCTATACGCTCGCTGCCTACCTCGCCGTTACCGCTACATCCGTCGCTACCTACTAATATGCCTCGGACGTATATACCTAGAGGACTATACGCTATAGACTATAATAACTATTAGGTCTATATCGCTATATAGCTCGCGGAAGGTATCTTATAGAGGTAGATTATCGCTAATCTATACTAGCAGTTCGGTATTTCTATTATAGAGTATATATTTGAACGACGGCTATAAGCCTAGGGCCTTACTATAGCCGCTGTACCTTTATATCGTCGATAGTACGATATCTTCGACGAAGACAATAGCTTGCGTATACGTATAGCGTATACCTATACTAAGCTATAACTTACAGATAGTAAGGCAGTTACGATTCTAGCGATTAATAGCTAGAAAATCAGTACGAGGATATATCGGTATATATACAAAGAGCTAGGGTTTAGGAAGTAGATACTAGTAGTAGAGCAAGTATATACTAAAGAGTTAATCGCTATAGCACTCGCAGACGAGCTCGCTAAGTTAGAGGTAGAGGTATATAGTAGGAGGAACCTATATATATATCTACGTTTAGAGATAAATATAATTAGGAGGTATATAGGCGCTCGCCGTCTGCTTGCTCGCTATCTGCTCGCTGTCTACTCGCTTACTAAATCGCTATCGGCTAACCTACTTAGGGACCGTATCTACCGTATTATTAAATTACTTAATCCCGATAGTATTTAGTAGCGATACGAGAAGGCTAGAGAGTACTATAGTACTATTATTATACCTAGGCCGTTAGTAGCAATTTCAATAGATACGTACTATAAGTTCGAGTACTAGAGTATTTAGATATATAGCGTAATCGACGTATACGCGTAGTATATAGAGTAGATTTACGTCGGAATTACTAGTAGATCGGCCGTTTCGGTACTCGCTTAGTATATCGCGACACTACGCTATAGTAGATACACGCCGGTAATTATATACTCGGATCGTAGAGATAAGACTATTCTAGCCGCCGACGCGTACTATATAGTACGTTGTACCGCTTACGACGTCGAGAATACTAAGCGTAGTGCTCGCGGCGAGGCCTTGTTACTACTACTATTAGGCCTCGTTATAGGTTGGGTTAGGTATAGGTTAGGTACAACCTAACGTTAATACCTAACCCCGCAAATAAGGTAGGTACCTAGCTTATAAGCTAGGTACAACCCAACGGAAAAAACCTAATAGGTATACCTAATAGGTATTGCGATGGGTATTACGTAAAACCTCTTCTAGATATAGAATAAACATAGTAAGCGCTTCTAGAACAGTAATAAGCCTCGTATATACCGTACTGCCTGAACTCGCTAACAATAGCTACCGACTATACCTACCGACTACGAGAATTAGGAAAAAGCAAATTAATTTAGGAGATTACAGTAAGTACTTCGATATCTCCTTCTATAGCTAATAATACCTGCCGACTATACCTGCCGACTACGAAAATTAGAAAAACCAAATTACTTCAGATCTTAGGCTTATAGTAAATACTTTAATATCTCCTTCTTTAGCCTAGCTAGAACGCGTATCTAGTGTTTAAACCGACTTTCGGTTACTATATACTGCTGCCTTACTCTCTAGGCCTTACGCATCTCTATTCTTCGCTAGGCCGCTTAGAAAGCCGGCTCCGTCCTTATTAATAATAGGGTCCTTAAACAAGTAGCTCTAAGGATAAAGCGAGCTGAAATTTCTGTCTCTAGTCTATCTCGTTCGGTAATAGGCTCTTCTACAAGTATACTTAGTATCTTATCGATACTTCCCCTAGCTACGAATTCTTATATACCCCGATTATTCGCTTGATCTATAGCTACCGTATACGCTGCCCTTGCTATATCCTCTAATTCTGTTATCTCCTTATCAAACTCCTACTACGACTACTCTTCTTTATCCTCTCTCTCTATATCTGGTCGACTCTCCTAGAGAGAATTAGGACCCGTCTCCTCCAAATCTGGATAATCGAAAGGATTATAGTCTTAGCTAAGCGAGATATCTTAATCCTAGGTACCTATATCCTCGTCGCTATACTGAAAATCTGCTTGACTAAGCGGTATACCTAGTTACCTAAAAGGAAAATCTGAATTCTCGGAAGCTATCTTCTCGTCTTCTTCTTCTTAAGTATTAATATAATCGAGGAGAGCCTAGAGATATTCATCCTCTATCGTTAGGGGTACCGTATTATCGTCCTGAGTATTCTCCTTATTAGCTAGAGGATAACTAGTTTGAACGCTAGGATTAGTATCTAGATTGTATTCCGAGCTCTTATTACCGCTTGAAATTACGATAGTCGCCTACTTCTTACTGTCTGAATCGTTTAAACCCCTATTATCCTAATCGGCGCTAGGAGGATCTTAATCGTTCCCGTCTGTCTAGCTACTAGTATCTGTATTATCCTAATCGGCGCTAGGAGGATCTTAATCGTTCCCGTCTATCTAGCTACTAGTATCTGTATTATCCTAATCGGTACTAGGAGGATCTTAATTATTACCGTCTGTCTGGCTACTAGTGTCGCTATTATCCTAATCGGTGCTAGGAGGATCTTGATTATTAGCGTCTGTCTGGCTACTAGTACCGGTTTAAGTACCCGTTTAAGCGCTAGGGTTATTAGGATTATCTAAGCTCTCGTCTTCGCTTAAGGACATAGGAGTCTTCTTTCTCTTCTTCGTAGTCGGCTTCTTTAGAGTTAGCTTCGATTTCGTCTTCTTCGTCTTTAATCGAGGCTTATATATCGTACTCGGGTCAACTAGGCCAGAGCTATAGGGAGCAACTACGTAATTGTCTAGCTAGATATTCTACTCCTTTAACAGCCTACGAAGACATTCGAGATCTTTCGCTATTACTATAACTCGCTTATAGTAGATAGCGAGAAGATTAGCTAACGAAAAGACTTTCGTTACTATACTCTCGCACTGTTCCTAGAGGATGCCGAGTACGCTCGCTTAGATCCGTATAGGGAGGTAGTCTTCGGTAAAAAGGATAATAGTATCCCTAACGATACGTACGAACGCGAGCTTTAGGATATAGTTTATAACCTCCGTCTAGCATTTTTTGATCTCCTACAAAGCTCCCTCTAAAAGAAATATTAGTATATACCGACTATATATACCGACTACGTCTGCCGACTAGGTATACTTACTGCCTCTCTTTTTTTGATTTTTCTTTATACCTACGGATAGAAGCCCTTTCCTACCCGTTGCGCTAGGGAGTCTCTTTCCAGATGTTCGTAGTACCTTTCTAGCGATTCTAAGCTTACGGCGCGCTATAAGTAATAGCGCTATAACGATAGTAGCAGTAGGCGGTATAGTAGGCAGAGCAGTAGGCGGAGTAGTAGGTAGAGTAGTAGGCAGAGCAGTAGGTAGAGTAGTAGGCAGAGCAGTAGGCGGAGGCTAGGAGGGGTTGTAGCGGGTAGGGGGCGGGGCGGGAGGGGGGGGGGGTTAACAACTAATGGTAATATCGCAAGTTAGGTTTTTTTAGAAATAGGGAATACCTTTAAAAGGCGGCGGAATTCAGGG